GCATCATCCTCCTGCTGCCACAAAGTCACTCGCCGCCGCGCCTTCCACATAAAATCAACCACATCATCTCAAATGTGAGCAAAAGGAATCTTTCACCCCTTGTGGTGCTTCTTGCTAGGTATTTGGTTACGACAATTAGAAAAAATAAGCAATTCAGTCCCATTGGGTGAAAACACCATCCAAAATGAGGATGAAACATTTTAATTTGCATATTCCCTTACGTTGGAGACTTATGTACACCAAATGCTTTTATTCCATTCGTTAAAATCTCATCTTCTTCCTGGCAAGGTTCCCACTATTTCCAAAGACTTGTAGAATGAAGCTAGAGTGTAAGAGTGGAGATGTAGGTCAATGGCTGAGTATCTATCTACCATGTGAAAGACACTGGGTTCAATCCCCAATACTGCAATTAATTGATTGATAAAATTTTAAAATCATAACATAAGAGAGCATACTATAAAGATATAATTTGAATTTTTAAAATATTGATGTTTCTAAGTAAATCAACTGTATCAGTTATAGCTTTCACACATTTATCTATAGTCTACTTCAGACTGAAGAGTCTGATTGGCTTCGTCAATTTAGAAGTTACAATGAACTTATCTCCAAAGAGAAACATAATAAAACAGGAGGTTTTTCCTTGCTTAAAAATACTGGTATCAGATAGGAAATTCTTAAAAATCACAATAGCATGTTAATCCAGGAGTGGCCATAGGGTTAATTTTGTTTTTGGAGTTAGGTTGTGTATTGGGTGGTTCTGTGTGTCAACTTGACACAAGCTAGAGTCATCAGAGGAAGGAGCCTTGGTTGAGAAAATGCCTCCTTGAGATCCAACTGTAAGGGATTTACTCAATTAGTGATCAATGTGGGAGGGTTTAGCCCATGGTGGGTGGTGCCATCCCTGGGCTGTTGGTCCTGGGTTCTACAAGAAGGTGGACTGAGCAAGCCAGGGGAAGCAAGCCAGTCAGCAGTTCCCCTCCACGGCCTCTGCATCAGCTCCTGCCTCCGGGATCCTGCCTTGTTTAAGTTCCTACCCTGACTCCCTTCAATCATGAACAGCAATGCCCAAGTGTAAGCCAAATTAACCCTTTCCTCCTCATCTTGCTTTTTGGTCATGGTGTTTTGTCATAACAATAGAAACCCAAACTCAGACAGGCTGCTTCCCATCTCAAAGTACTCAGAAACTTATCTTTGAGTGTGTCACATAATATTTCATCAACAGGGAAACAGACTACTTTGCCTTTATTAGAAATTTAAAAACCTTAGCTAACAAAGTGAATTCAGTTTCATTCAGTTCAGCTCAAAATGCTAAAATATAAATATAATTTGAAAAATAGAATTACACAGACCGAAATATTCTAATTCCCCCCACACATGCCACAATAACGTGGCAGATGATTAAGTAATCTTATTTGTTAAGAAATCAATTCTTATGTTCCTTCTTTCTTTCTCCTTTCTCTCTTCTGCCCCCACCCCCCAACCAAGACGCAGGAATCAAAGTCTTGTTCCTGAGACAAATGTAATGTGAAGAAACTCACTTTGTGAGGCCCAAATGAAACCAATTTCCAGAGACTGACTTAGGCATTTAGCAGTAAGTATCACACATCATAAATTGCAGCTCTCACCTTATGTTCTAGCCAATCAGATTACACAAGCCCTTGTCATATCCAATTCCGTTGCTAGTATAGATTGGGCCAAAGATCCTATATCTTCACCAAGAAATTGGCAGCTTATGGGCAATGAACTCCTTGTAGGGGAATTCCATCAGTGCTGAAAACATGTCCTACTCAGTTGAATTCTTTCACAAAGGTCATTGTTTGTAAAGGTATCTTGGCAATTAAACTACTAATGATACTTTGTTGTAATATTCTATGTCAAGATAGGCCTTTTTGCTGTTTATGGGCACTAATTCTTTAATTCTTATTCATTATGCAGATGTCTCTGTGTCATGACATCACTTTTTTAAAAGAATCCTACCTATTTTATATTTTTCTAGTTGAGCCTTCTATAATTTGGTTCTTGTGTTTGCCTTTTCTGTTAGGGACTTACCCTATGGTTCTAGTATCTTAGTGGAGTGATTTTTGAGGTGGGAAATCTATTTAATTACATATATCATAAAGGGCATGGGCTTTTGAAATAGGTAAATTAGAACCTAAACTGGGTTACTTAGCTCTGTGACACTGTTAGACCATTCACATAATCCTTTGAAGCCACAGATTCTACCATTTAAAATTTTAAAGCAAACTAAAAACCAACACTATATGAAATGTATTTGAGATACAAGTTTCCAAAAGCAAAGTCTAAACAAATCACATGAAAACATTATCCTGAAAGAGAAATTTTAAATATCAGAATAACCTGCATGGTATGTGAAACTAATTGGAAACTTCTAGAAATACATTCATTCCACAAATATGCATTGTATCTGGCAAGTTCACAGTATGCTTGCAAGCAATGCACGCTCAGATCAGAGTTCAGAACTGCCTGTGGGAACAATTCATAGGATGGATCCCTAAGGCACCATAACTGCCAGGCACTCCACTAGGCATTTTGCACAAAATCCATAAAACATTACTTTAGGGTAGATTCCTTGGCCTCTTTCTGCAAGGCCTGTGTTCCATTACAACATCATGCTGTGAAAAGGGCTGACTTTTACTCCTGGCAGAGGGGAGCTTTTTTGGTATTTCATCAAATCTGGGATATCATTTCTTGTAAAACACATCATTATTCTACATACCACTCAGAAAGATTAAAAAGCTGCCAATTAAATTATGGCATTCCTTTTTATCTCTTCGAGGTTTCTGTTGTAAACATACTAAGAGAGCCCATTCAGATTTACTTGGGATTATATATCATTCTTATGTGTCTATAAAAAAGGGAAAACGTAAACAAAATAAATAGGTGAAGGCGTTTGAAGAGTTTTTTCACATTTTCAGCTGAAGGCTCCCAAATCATAGATAAGAATCTTTGATGTGTGTGTTTCCCCACAGCAGCCTCAGTGTCATTTGGAGTACAGATGATACAGCATTTCTTCCATGAGGAAACTGCTATGGACCTCGGAACGTTGCTCTAAGCCAATGACACACTTTCGAAAGGTCTTGTGCCTATGAACAAACAGGAACATCCAGAGTGTGAATGACGCCCAGTCCAAGCCAGTTACAAGATACCTAACTTGGGAGATTTAAAAATGTGAAGACCTGCAAGCCTGGAAGTCGGGGAAACGCTGTTCTCAGTGCACGGACTGTGTGACCCAGGAGAAACCTCTGTGACTTCATCAACAATGAAGTCAGTTTCAGACTCTGAATCATTCCCTGCTGATCTTCCCTTTGTTCCCTATGGGGGGCTTGGAGTGGTCTCTAATTCTCCTCTTTGGGGGTCTGTGTTTAATTCCTTGCTTGTTTAAATTCCACAGAACAGAAATATAATCAGTGGCCAACAAGGGCTCCTTCTCACATAAGGTCTTGAGGTGGGAGGACTTCAGCAAGTGTTAAATATCAACTCAATTAAGAGCCTGGGGTAAGGAATTTCCTAGATCAGATTGGGCTGTGGGCTTCTTTGTGGAGAATTATCTTGATTGTTAATTGGTATAGGAGGAACCATGCCACTGTGCATGGTGCCATGCCTAGACAGGTGGTCTTGAACTGTACAAACTAGCTTGGTATCAGCCAGACAGCAAGCAGCATTTTTGGTTCCTGCTATACTTATTCAACTGTCAGTGAGATCCTTGCTTGGGGGTAATGCTATGTGGATAGCAAGAGGGCCTGCCTTCAAATCCTACCTGGGGTCCTGGCTTCCCTCAATGATGGGCTGTGGTGTGGGATTGTAAACTGTGGAACTGTAAGATGAAATGAACCCTTTGCTGCCCTACACTCGTGTTAGAGAAATTTATCACAGCAACAGGACTGTAAAGAGAACAAACTGATTCTCTCAACAAGGGAAAGGAAGATGGATTGAAGAAAAAGAATAAGAAGAAAAGGAAGGGGAAAGGGAAGAAGAAGGAGAAGAGGGAGGAGGAGAAGGAAAAGAAGGAGGAGGAGAGGAGGAGGAGGAGGAGGAGGAGGAGGAGGAGGAGGAGGAGGAGGAGAAGTGACCAGCTCTAGGGCCAGCAAGATGGCTCTGTGGATAAAGGAGCTTGTTATCAAGCTGAGGACCTGAGTTCCAACCCTAGGACTCACATGATGGAATGAGAGTCAACTCCTGTGAATTATCCTTTGACCTCCACAAGCATGTGCACATGCACACAAGCACATGCAAAATAAATAAATATTGGGGTTTTTTAAGCATTAAAATTTTCTATTAGCCATCAATAGACTGGGGTTCTTTAGCTCTGCTTGGGTAGGAATCATGAATAAACAAAGAGTACCTTCCTCAGTGTTAACCTTCCAAGCTTTGAGTGCAAAGGTAGGCTGGACTACCAGACCAAGGGGCTGATGTCACTGGGTTTTGAAAACCAGAGACTTATGAAGGCTCTGGAGACCAGACTGTAGGAGCTTGGGTCATAGGCATATCACTTTTAATTTAGTTGTTAGTGGCCTCACACTCACCATTAGAGTCCCATGACTCGTAGCAAACAACAGCTGGTGTTGGCAGCTGCAGGCAGTGACCAGGATTGTGCCTTCAAAGCCCTGTTGTATGTGGAGATACTCAGTCCCTAACAGTAGCTGGAGTTATAACTCTTGAGCCCTGAGGGTGAGAATCCTTAACTTAGAGGGTTTGGCATCTCCTTGGAACTTTTCTAGTGTCAAGGACCCTGATGCCATCATTCAGCTTTTCTACCTTTTCTATGTTCCCCGTCCTTCATTTTCTACATCTGCCCTTCACTGTCTCCGCCCTGATCAGTTATTCTCTGTAATGACCCCTGGGGGAGGAGTGGCCCCTTCTCACCACAGCAGCTATTGCTGTTGCTGTTACCTGTCCCTACGTTATGCTACCAGCTCAGCCCAGTCAGCTCATGGTAAAGACTCCAAATAGGCAAAGACCGCTTGGGAGAAAGTCTTTAATTGGAACCAGTGTTGATGTGCAAAGACGTTTACCTGGCAAACTGGAAAAGTGGGCCACACAGCTAGAAAGGGTGCGTGGTATGCAAATATGGCACTTACAACTTGTGTCAATCACAGCCCAACTTCCTCTTTTTTCAAAACCAGTTATAGGCAAGTATAGGTATCCTCCTCCCATCTGTCAATCACACACAGGCTTCTAGCTCAATGAACTAGGGAAAGTGTTCTTCCTTCTTTAGACCTGTGTGAAGTTGGCCTCTGCAAGGTCTAGAGCTTCCAGAGTCGAGGCTCTCTGCAGATGAAGACATCTCAAGGTCGCACAAGCTTGTCTTGCCTGGAGTAAAGGTTTCCACCACCGGTACAAACTATGAAGGAAGCAAGAGTCACACCCTCTTCAACACCCTTGGGTTAAATGTCTTTTGTAGCTGGAGTGTGGTTTTCTCTGGATAATTCCCTCACTCAGGACTGCCAGGTATAAGGAAAGGTCTGTCCAGTGGCCTCTATTCCTGGTGCTTCATTCATGTGTTGGTTCACAGGAAAATGCCAAAGGGTGCTGTGTAAAAAGACAACACTGGCTTAACTAACATTCACATTTACCGGATAACCCCAGTATCCTAAGGAGAGTTGATTCATCTCATACCTGCTGCCACCCTGCGGTTCCAACAGTTTAAAATGATTTGCTAGTATGATTGCCAGACATACAGGGAAGACACAGATTTCATGTTATTCTCCAAGCTCACTGGCGAGAGCATCTCTGAGAATTAAATAGATGTCTTAAGACTGTTAGTAAGTTGCTACCTTGTTGTGTCTTTAGGCTAAAAATAAACTTAATGCAGAAAGGCTTGAGGAGAGCTAAAAGAATAACAAGACAGTTTCCTAATCCTGATCAATGCTTTATATAACACATAGCAGGAGTTTAACGGATTTGAGTATAATGAGTGAATAAGCATTTTCATCAATCTTCAACTGTCAAAAGATTGATTTGGGATTGGTTTTTTTCTATGTAAATAATATAATAATAATCCCTTATGTGGGAATAACAGTTTGCCCAAGATGTTTTCTGCCACTCTCCAATTTTAACTTCCAAAGGTTAAGATGTGATTGGTGTTTATTTGCATATTCATCACAAGCAAGTATAATCATCATGCCTACTGGCGTTTGAGTTCAAACTTGTACTTTGGTTTTCTACTGACCATCTCTTCTCCTGACTCCATCCATACACATCCTTGGAGACTGATGTTTCTAGGAAGCCCTCTGAGCATCATGACTCTTCGTTATTTCCTATAAGAGCATTTGCTGTTAGAGAGGGCCAGGTAGATGGCACAGCCAGGAGAGTGGAGGTCTTTACACTGAGGGTGGTAGATCCCTGGCACTTGATAATACAAAGCCAGGAGTGGCTGAATGTGCCTATGATCTTAGCACTAAGGATGTGGCTCCAGGAAGGTCCCTGGGAGTCATGGTCAGCCAGTCTAGCTGAATCAGTCAGCTCCCAGTCCACTCAGAGACTCTGACCCTAAAAATAAGATGGAGAACAGTTGAGGAAGACAATGATGTCAACCTCTGGCCTCCTTATGGACGCACAAGGGTACTCACAGTCACACACACAGTGTACACACACATGAAAGTGCACACCCTGAGAAGTGTGTGCTGAGGCGACTCCTCCTTCATAAGGAGGGACCATCTGTGCTTTTCTTCTCAGGTTGCAATTATTTTGTATTCCTAGGTCCCGTTTCAGTAAAGTGTGTGTTGAAAAAATAGGTTGTATTCTGACCCATTTTTTCCTGCTCCCTTCTCCAGGAAGACCATTATCTCTACTGCCACAGAACTCTACTTAGTTTTAATCAGGAATTGTTGCATGGGTGAACCCACATATTTGTCCTAATCTTCAGATTTTTTAACAGCCAATCATCAGTTATTACCATACTCTAGGATGCAAGTCCGCCCGTTTCTATTTCATAGTTAGATTTTATACATGATAGATGTTCTAGAGTTCGCCATAATACATCCTCACAGTTCTCATTTCCTTAGGTCTGTGGTCCTCCTGAGATCCTTTATCATGTCAGCCTGTAGGATCTGCTACTTTTACTTCTCTCAAATCCTAAGCCAGTAGGAATTGAGGAACGTGTCTTATATATCTTGGATCCGTCCATGCCAGCAGAGCGTATCTGTAGAAATACAAAAGCATTGTTTGCCTTTGAGTGAGTGAACAACACTTCTACCCACCCTTTTGGAGTGTGCTGAGGTGGGAAAAAGACACAAAAGCAAAACTAAGTCTCCCCAAATGCACAAGTTCACAGCTTCATTTGCAGCACCCCCCCAAAGAGTGCTTTCTGCACCGTTCATTCGTCCTGACCTCTGACACGAACACACACAGCAAACCTGAAGACATTTAGATTGGTGGGCCTTGATGGGTGGGTCTTGAAGTCTCTTCCCGTTTGCAATGTAGTTTCATCGGGTCATGAAGACTGGCCCCATCAGAAGGTTGGCGCAGCTCACTGATGGAAGTAGAAGCTACTAAGATTCAAGAAAATCAATTTTAGTCTATTTCATTAAAAATTAGTTTGATTTCTTTTCTGACACCTATGTTTCATTTCTCAGCGTTTTGTTTGTTTGTTTGTTGGGGGGTTGGTGTGTTGGGGTGGGGAGGGGGGTAGTTTGTTCTGTCTCGGTATCTTCTCCCCACCTCAGCTCATTCCAAGAATTCACCTCGGCCTTTTAGTAAACAAACACTTATGGAATTACTTCTAAGAAAAGTTCCTTGCCCAACTTTCCACCACCACCCACCACCCATTTCCATCTCAGCTCCTACTCTTCCCCCAGGTTTCTCTGCCTTATCTGGATGCTAACACATGAAGGCTCTACTAAGAACAGCCTGTAGCATGACTGTGCGATTCACTGCACTGGCGACACAGGACAGGGCTTGACATTCAGGACGGTGGGCAGCCAGTGAAACGTCAATCATGCTACGGAGGAAGATGTGGCAACAATGGCACCTGCAAAGGACAGGACTGGGGTGGGGGGCGTTGTTTGTTTGGGGAGGTGTTGTTTGCTTTGTTTGTTTTATCTTTCCTTTTTAAGATTGCCATGGGATTAAATGATTCATTCCCAGAATTTTAATTCCACTGTTTTTTTTTAATGAAGATAACTTTATTTTAGTATTTTAAAAAAAAAACAGATTTTTGCATGTCACTGAAGAGTTCAAAGGCCATCTATGCTTGAAACACAGGTTTTAATTATAACCACGTGTCCTCAAGTGTACTAGTTAGTAGAACACCCTGAGAAACCCTAATTCAAAACTGTAATTTAGCCCAGTATACATGCCACCATCTCCCTTCTTAAAACGATAAAATATACATGCATAATAGATAAAACATGTGCAGATATAATGTAAATTTTATAATACAATAAAATGTCATATTGTAAGTATATTTACTCTTTTTTTTTTTTTTTCCTTATACAAAGTCTCATTGTGTCACCCTTTCTGGCCTCAGATTTACTATGTAGACCTGGCTGGCCTTGACCTCACAGAGGTCTACTTTCCTCTAACTCACTGGTACTGGGATTAAAGGCGTGTGTCACCATGCCTAACTGTGTATACTATGCTTTTACCACTACTTATCTGTAGCTAGAGTTTTCCTGCCTGGCCCACAGTCAGGACAAATCTCTGTCACCCGCCAGTCCCACAGCTGCTCAGACCCAACCAAGTAAACACAGAGACTTATATTGCTTACAAACTATATGGCCATGTGGCTCAGGCTTCTTGCTAACTGTTCTCATATCTTAAATTAATCCATTTCCATAAATCTATACCTTGCCACGTGGCTCGTGGCTTACCGGCATCTTCACATGCTGCTTGTCATGGCGGTGGCTGGCAGTGACTCCCTCCACCTTCCTGTTTTCTCTGTTCTCCTCTCTGTTAGTCCCGCCTTTACTTCCTGCCTGGCCACTGGCCAATCAGTGTTTTATTTATTGACCAATCAGAGCAATTTGACATACAGACCATCCGACAGCACTTATCTATTGTGAATTTGTATCTACCATTCTGCTTGTTGACTGTTTTTGCCATTTTAAACTGTGTGTTACGTAGCACAAAATAAAAGACACTAGGCTGCATTCTCTTGTGTTTCCACCAGTTACTTCTTAATGAAGCAAGGACTACAGGAGATGAGAATTCTCTCTTCCTTTCAAGTTCTAAAAGTTCCATGTGTAGCTGGATAAGTGGCCAGCATTGGACTATACTTTCCCCAGACATCTTGCAGATGAGACTTTGCTCCTAGGTTTGAGCATGCAGTGACAAGAATAGTTCCCAGGTCTTACCTTATGGCTGTGCCCTTTATACTGAACTTTCTCCCCTTCCTCTTAGACTAGAATGTAGGTATGATGTAGCTCCCTTCCATCTTTACAGGGTAAGAAAGGTTATTGTTGTTCATGACAGTTCTTGGCTGATTTTGGACTGTTACGTGAAAGTGAACTTGTATTATCATAGCAATCTGTCCTACATGTTGCTAAGTATTTGTTTGGGTTGTCTATCATATCTGTTGATGTCAAAAGTTATATGATTTTCTTAAATATTGCCTAGCCCAGTGGAATACAAGCATAAAATAAAAGGAATTTTTTGTTTCCATGAAAATTAACTTTGGAACCATCTACTAGGGCCAAGTCACAAAATAAGGTATAAATAAGGCAGCTAAGAACAGCATGGAGAGAGAGATATTATATATGAAATTGAAAGAAAGCTCTTAACCCCTTCCATAGTCTCATGTTTGAAGAAAAGACTGACCTGAGATGAGATGATGAGTGTAGCAAATTAAAACAAATTTACATGTTCTCCAATAATATGAAATATACAACTGACTTCTTTTTAGCAATGTCTTTTACTGGGTGTAGTGGTTTGAAAGAAAATGGCCCCCATAGGCTCACAGGGAGTGGCACTATTAGGAAGTATGGCCTTGCTGGAGTAGGTGTGGCTTTGTTGGAGGAAGTGTCTTGCTAGGGGCGGTCTTTGAAGTCTCAGAAGCTCAAGCTAGGGCTAGAGGCTCACTGTCTGCTCTTGTTGCTCAAGGATCCAGATGTAGAACTCTCATCTCTTTCTCTTTCCATGTCTGCCTGCATGCTGCCATGTCTCACCATGACAATAATGAACTAAACCTCTGAACTGTAAGCCAACCATAATCAAATGTTTTCCTTTCTAAGAGTTGCTGTAGTCATGGTGTCTCTTCACAGCAATAAAACCCTAAGACAGAAGCAGGTACCAGGTACTGGGGTATTGTTGTGATAGGCCTGGCTATGATTTTGTTTAGAGGAATGTGGACTTAAGAACTTTGGAAAGCAGTTGAATGCTTTAAGAGGGGCTTAATGGGCCATACTAGTAGGAGCATGGAAGACAGTGGTGCTGAGGGTGATTTGAACTGTGGGAGCCTGCCTCAAGAAGTTTCAAAGGAGAAGAATATTAATATGTGGCCTAGAGACCATTCTTATAATATTTTAATGAAGAATGGGGATTTATGTCCTTGTCCAAAAAATCTGCCTGAATCTAAATTGAAGAGTTATGGGCAATGATCTAGATAATTTAAGCTATGGTTCACTTTCACTGACAATAATCCACATCATTATGGACTCTATTTGAGTTAACTAGAATTTGGGCAGCTGCTTCAATTGTCCCTATTCACTTTCTATTTATAAGATAATCTAATACAAAAGGGAAACCCATAGTTGAAATTTTGATTGAATAGTTCCACATTTTACTCGAAGCATGAATTTTGATCATCTGGAGACATCATTTCCATATAAAGACAATTCTAAAACACCTAAATCCAGCAGAGCAAGTGAGTTGAATGCTGGCAAGCACAATGCTCTGTTTTTATCCAATTTCACAAGTTAGGCAAGAAAATACTTATTAAGTGTCTACCATTGCCAGGGCCTGTTACAGCATATCAACCAAGATCATTTTGGCTTAGCCTTTTGCAAAATGTCTTCTGCATAGTAGATAATATTCTATCTATTTTATAGGTAAATGAAACAAAGTCAAGAATTTAAGAAATAATTTTTTTCAACATTCTACCTTTAATACTTGAAGCAATGGAAAAATCCTTTGATATCAAACCCAGTATTCTAAACACTCTAGAGATACGTATAACATTTCTAATCAAAGAACTGAAATCTAATATCTTTAGATAGTTTTTAGTTGACTATTAGTAGTGTCTAAAATCTTAGAAATACTCCCAGAATTCATAATATTAAATTTTATGATGGTCTGTCCCTCAATATCTTGCAAACAAATTACAAATCTTAATTACTTCAGAAAGTCAATGAGTTCAACTAAACAAGACCAAATGAATAAAAAAAAGAATAGCTAATAAAATCATAATTGAGAAGCAGTTTCCCCCAATATATGATTGCTGTTGTTATTTCTGTTAGACAGTAAATCTAACTATTCTGTTAGACAGTAAATCAAGTAAGTCATCAAGCCGTGTGTAATGTTATCCATAATACAAGTACTATGCCTGGTACCAGCAGAAGCCAGAAGAGGGTATCAGATCTCCTGAAACTGGAGTTACCAGCAGTTCTGAGCTATCATGTGGGTGCTGAGAATCAAAGCCATGTCCTCTAGAAGCATCCAGTGTTCATAACCGCTGAGCCATCTCTCCAGCCCTCCACATTCAATTTTTGCTATATTGTATTGTTATGACATCTCTATTTTATTATTGTTGTTGTTACTCTCTTACCTAATTTATAAATCAAATTTTATCAGTATGTATGTATGATATATGCAAAAGCATAATATTCATATGCCCAATATAATTCAAGGTTTTAGACATCCTATGAGGAAGTTCTTAGGCCATCTCCTCTCAAGGATAAGATTTTAAAAAATAAAAATACTGAATACTGTACTTTGAAATGTACAGCTGTCTAAACAGCTGAATTAAGCAAGAGTAAATTCCAAATAAGTTGAAGATGAGATCCTTGATGTGGTTCAGACAGCTACATCTAAGAGTCTCTTACCACAAGTCAGTCTTATCACTGCTACTCAGAGAAGCACAGATTGGAGGACTCTAGGGAAAAAAATGACTATTGTTCTGAACCCAAGTCCAACCCAAGGATGAGGCTTGGGGGCGGGAGGACACATAGTTTGCAAACATTTCATCCTTCTCTGATTTTGATCCACTCATCAGCCCATTCTGTTGACTAGGATACCCTCCATTTTTTGAGCAGTTTAACTTCAAAATTCCATTAGCTTCCTCTGAAAATGCCATACCAAGCAAGATAGTCTGTGAGGGTGTGGTAGAAATTTTACTGTGCCACTTGCTTTGAATTGCTGTGGGTTGGTGACATAGGCATGGGTTTCTGGTCTCTGCTGTACCTGTTTTTAAGATTCAAACTGGGAGTTTATTTTCTTTTCATTTGTTGTCCAGACAACGATTTGTAGACAAGTCCACTACAGATGAGGAAGGACCACAGTTTTCATGGCAGACATTCTCCCTGTCTTCTAGCCTGCTGGCTGGCAAAGCACTTGGATTGATGCCTTCCCAAGTACTGGAGGCTTGTGTCCACTAATCTTGCAGAGTGTAACCCCAGATCCCTTCTGTTTCTTACAAAGCTCTGGTATTCAAATAATGCTAACACTAATGAATAATCACTTGAAAAGACACACAGTTCCTCTGATGCATTTCTACCATCAGTTTTATTTTGGATGAAGTCGGAACGTCTGAGGGACCTATTTGTACTGTACTGTTTGAACTCTTGCAGGGTTTCTCTTCCTGGTTTGCACTTTTAGCTTGTTTTGGTCATGAGAAAAGTCGACAACTCTCTTAGGTTAGCACAAGCCAAAGCCCACAAGCTGTCTTTCTGGAAGAACAGAGTGACAGTGGAGCCACGCTCCAGGGAATGTCACTGTGCCGTCGACTCCAGTGGTCAGCACTCTTCCACCCCTACTCAGCGGCACGGTCA